GCAGCACCCGCCGCTGCTGCCGCCACTGCAGCAGCAGCAGCAGCTGCCTGTGCTTTTTCTTTTTCTTTCTTAATTTTCGTCAGGTCCTTCTTTAGCTCTTCCTAAAGCAGATTAAATAATGCAAAGAAAAAGGACACCTTGTGAGAATATTTCATAACAGGATGAGAACCCAGCCTCAAATCCTGCTACATTCAAACGAGGAAAAACCACTCACGTAATTTAAAGTGCAAAATCCAAGATTAACATAACGTTAAAGAGAGGTGTCTATCAGTAATCATTGGATAGGTGACCTTCTTTCTAATTCTATCATAAAAGACTGTTGAGGAGGTGGAGCGCAACTGGTTAATAAATAGACCAGATATATAAAAGCAGAATCATAGGGTGGAGGCAGCCTTCAAAATTAAAAGAATTATCACAGAAGTTTTGGGTATTTTATTAAAGTAGTAAAATTAATAGTTTTCTATTAATGGAAATTGTGCCATTTGGATTTGAAATAGTGTGCACAGAACTGATAATACAGAAGTACATGGCCATATGGGAGATCTATTTTCAGTCTGTAGTCGCTGTTGGTCACTCCTTGGGCAGGTAAAAGGGTGATCTGAGACATTTAACAGCAGAATGAACTAGTGTCAAATGGCACTGAAAAAAGCAGGGCACAAGATCTTGTGTGAAAAGCACTGGGTAATAATCTTTCAACTCAATACCATCCCTCAGAAATCTCATTTTTGCATCTTCACTGTTTAGCGAGACAGTGGGACAACTCCCACAGCAATTGGAAAACTCTGACACATGGTCACTGGTGGCAGGTACAAATACCATACTCCAAATTTTCCAGCTCCTTCAACTCTAAGTGAAGAAGAAACTCTTTGTTCAAAGTTCCCTCGTTCAAAGTTCCAGCTCTTGTAGCTCACCATTTCTAAGCTCTCCTGACAGTTGATTGAAAAGAGTTCATATAAACTGAGCGGCCTTTACCTGAAATTCCTTCATACATTTTTGTTGCAGTGCGTCACCTGGAGATCTGATGCCCTTACAGAGAGCGAATACAAAAGGAACAAAACACAGCAAGCCCTAGAATTTGTGGGAACCTACAAAGAACACCTCTAATCCAGATCTTTCCCTTTCTGCAGAGATATCACCCCATCTGTATAGAAAACTTAAATGGGAATGGAGTGAAATGGAACCTCTCCCCTCTGGAGGGAGGTGAAGGTACAAGAGGAAGTTCTATTCCTTCCCTCACCCCACACACACATCTTCCCAGTTGATCTTGTTCAACAAGACACAAGATTGAAAGTTTTGGCGCACTGACTAATATGTCAAAACTATTTCAGGGAGCAGCAAGAAACAGTGAGATAAACATCAGAGGCATAAACATAAAGGATACACCTGCACCGATCTGTGTATGAGGAAACCAATTCCTCAAAGCCTCAACAAATAAGCTGGTAAATAATTATGGAAATATTTTCCCCAAACTAAAAAACCCCGCTGATCATTGGGAGGAGCTGCTCTTACCTGCACTTCAATTTGTAGGTCTTTGTCCAGAAGTGCTCTTTTTTTCAGTATTTCAGCTTTCAGCTGTTCTTTGTGTTTGAAAAGCAGAGCCGAGAGCTTGGTAGCATTCTGTTTGCTACGCTTCTGCTCTACGCTCTCTTCTCTCTTCCGTTTCTTTGCTGCCTGTTTTTCTTCTTTATCTATCTTATCCAAAATATACTTCATCACTTGGTTACACACTATCATTCTGGGAAAGGAGCAGAAAACAGAACACTGTGCCATGCAGCCTTGTTGCCTCTTACAAAAGTAAAAATATTTCATTATTACAGTCGACATAAATCACAGGGTCTACTATTACATCTTAAAAACGGTAGTTAAAAGACAGATTTGGTTACATTAACAGAATTTGTTTGACTAATATCTCACAGGAGCATTTTATCTGTTTAGACAGAGAGACAGACAGACATGGCTCTGTTGATGGTTAAAGAACTGGCATACCAGGGCAAGGGGTCAGACTCGACCCCAGCATCTATGAATCTATACCCATGGGACACTCAGAGTCTGGGATATAGGATACCCAGGTTGAAGTCCCTGTTCTGCCCATTCAAAGAATAGTGAGAGTTTTCTCCCATCCTATCAGAAGTGACCAGTGAGTCCTGGGCCCAAAAAAATCCTCCCTGAATAAAAAAAAAAAATCATGTTTTAATCAGAAAATAGATTCTACTTTTCATAAAACATTCGAAAAGAGGTTTTGCATTCTCCTACAGGATGAAAACCAATCCTGAAACCTCTCAGGATGGTGCAAAACAGACTCTTTGTCTTGCAGATAATTGAACTTTGCTGTTTTGACCCAAGAAAGTCGCAGCAGACCGTTCTTCTCTATCTATACAGATCAATAACTCCCAATGTTTTCCTCAGGAGCAATCTGTTCTGCTCTTCTTCGCTATCCTATTGCTATATAGCCTGGTCTTTTTTATAGTAGGTAGAGAAGCACTGCTACAAACTATGCTTGTTGGGGAAAGGAGGGAGGAAAGATGGCATTCCCAGGAACGGAGGTTGCTTGTCTTTTTAAGCACAAATTAGGATACTTCCAAAAATGAACTCCGACAAATTTCAGCCTTTAGTTTGTGAGCCTGTCACTGACTAGTCACTTCATTCGTTACACTGGATGAATGGGCAATTAAGTTGCATAGTACTCTCTCTGTGACCTGATGTGAAGACCAAGGAAGACTTTGTAGTAGTTCCCCTTTGGTAGTTCTATTCGCAAAATGACTGGATACCTGCGATTATTTAGTGAACTAACTAGATGGGTAAAAAAAAGTCAAAATGGCCATGGGAGAACACATGACATGAATGCTCCAAATAGGCATTTGCCAGGGGTAGACATGAAACCCCCACCAGTCTATGGAATAACAATATCTTCATTTCTCGCTACTTTGGTCTACTGACTGGGAGGTAAAATATTAAAACAGAAGACAAGCTGCTGGCAAAAAAAGGGGAATGAAATTAAGAAACCATAACAAAGACGACCCCAAACAAAAATGAAACAGGCATAGCTATAATAGAACAATCTTTCCATTTCCCTTTTGAGATCCCTCAAAGCTAGTTATTTATTTTGAATTAATAAGTAGAAACAAATCAACGTAAATTTGACTAGAGTGGAATCCAAATGCTCATTTATTAGGAACATTATTTCTAAATCATGGATTTGTCAACAACTATTTGTATGTCGTTTGAAATCCATATTCAAATGGAAAAATCTCATATAACCAGGCTTTTCTATATGCAAGACTCATTTTGCTCAACAGAAAAGGTTTGAGGGGGTCCGATGGAAAAAAAGGCTCCATTGCTAACAAACCATTGTGTGCCTACCTCTGATTTTCCTCTCGTTCTGCAGGGGTCAGAGTCTTTTTCTGCTTCAAGTGCTCTATCACAGCATTGTGTTTCATCACCACCTTGAGGACAACACAAAATCCAAAACAAAACTTGAAAACTTTAGCCAGTGCTGCTGACAGCACTTGGGGAAAAAATGGTACACGTACTAACTTGTTTAAGTTTATAAGTCCTATATTTACACTAAATTAGGGGTTTTAAATTAGAACTGGGAAATTTCAATCTAATTTTACTATTTCTGGACAATGAAAGTTCAGTCAGCTTTACTTTTAGTCCGCTGCTCTTTGCTGTACTACAGGACTTCAGCCATATGGCAGGGGAATGCTTGCTTTCACAACTTTTTCTTGGAATTCAAAAATACAATTAGGCTCTAAACTAGTGCTTTTCAACCTTTTTTCATTTGTGGATCCCTAAAAAACTTTTAACAGAGGGGAAGACCCCTTTGGAAGTTTCAAACAGAGGTACCGACCCCCTTGAACTGTAAGTGTGGGTAATCACATACTTCTGATTGATCATAGTCATCTTCTGCAGACCCCTTAGACAGTTTGCAGACTCCCAGGGCTCTGTGGACTACAGGCTGAAAACCATGGCTCTAATGGCTTTAATAATATTCTAAAACAGGAGTTAATTAACTGAAGTTAGTTCTAATCACAAGATATTATACAAAAGACTCCACATTTTTTCTTGTTTTTTGTCTTTCTTTTATATTATACCTAACACACCTCTTCTAGTGTTCTTTCCTCAGCGGTCAACAAAACTACTGTACAAGCGCACCAAGCATTTGCCCTTGCATATACAACCTGTCTCCTCTGGACTAACACTGGGGCAGGATGACACCTTAGAAACTAACTTGTTCAGAGAGGCATAAAGCTTTTGTAGGCAGCAGCTTATGCTTCTGAACATGCTACTCTTTGGTGCCACCCTGCTCTGCCTTCTGCGCGACTTCAGACTAACACAGCTAACTACCTCTCTGGACTAACACTGAGCATATATCTTCCCAATAATCAATTACAATAAATTAAGACAGTGTCAAAAAGCTGTAGGCACTGCAGACTTCTCTTAATGGGCTGAACTAGCTTAGATCATTACAACGGCAAAACCCAATCATTTTGCAATATGATTTAGAAAGGGAGAAAAATCAGAGACAATTCAGTTCACAACTTATCAACCTGATTAACAGCATGAGGTTACTTAATTTAAGGCATTCCTTTATTTCAGAGAACTTTACCTGTTTCTGGATAATGTCACTTTGATTAGAAGCTTGAAGGGTGTGTTCACGTTTAATTTCTATCTGCTTTTTCTTCTGCTGTTGCTCCCTGAGCTGCTGAACCCTCTGCAGCTGCTCTTGAACACTAGCTGCTTGAACCGTTACCACATTCTGAATTTGGTGAGCCTGTACAGGGCTCGTCTGCTGAATTTGAATAGGTAGCTGAAGCTTGATTTGCTGAGGAACACTGCCCTGCTGGGCCTGTATCTGAGCCACAACATGAGATTGAAGTTGAGAAAGAACCTGGACTTGTTGCTGAAGCTGAGGTACAGTAATAACCTTGGTTGGAGGCTGCTGAATCTGCAGCTGAGGGCGAGATGGAGACTGTACAGTAACTTGGCTTAAACTTTGTGTAGCTGGAAGGGTTTGGACTGAAGTCTGAACCTGGGATTGGGGTTGTTGTTGCAGCTGAGCTTGAATCTGTATAGAAGTATGGGGCTGCATCTGAATCGGCTGTTGTGATGTAGTCTGCACCGGGGCTTGCTGCGGAGCCTGGAGCTGGGGCTGGGCTTGAATGACTGTCTGTGGCTGACTCTGGACTTGAAGTTGAGACTGCCCTGGAACCTGGGTCTGTGTAGGAGAATGAACGGTGACTGGTGATTTAGCTGACTGTGTCATGACAGGCTGTGCTTCTGATGTGTCTGGAGACTGAATGGATGTTGGAGTCTGAGATTCAGGCTGTGTCTGAACTTCAGGCTGAACTCCGGCCTGAGCAGTCTGTGGTTGGGCTGGGGGCTGAGGCTGAACACACTGTGTCTGTGCCTGCAGCTGGGTCTGCAGTTGATTCTGAGACTGGGGCTGAATTGGAGGCAGGACTGGTGGTGGTTGTGCCTGAGCTTGTGAGGCTTGTTTCTGTTCCCCTGTAGCTATGAAAGATAAAGAAAGTATTCTATTCATTCCAAGGGACATGTCTATAAGCCATGTTAATTTGAAATATTAGGCTTTCTGCAGCTGACAAAGCAGTTTTTCTCCTAATGGCTTAATAGAGGTACACTGCTTCATCCAGAGCTCTAGCATATGATTTCTCAGCCTACAAAATGATCTTTAAATTAACTTAATAAAAGACATTAGCTGCCAACTATGTAAAGTTACTTTGACTTAAAACCAGTGCTTTATGTTGAACCCAAAAAAATCCTACCTGATGTTGAAGTGGAAACTGTTGTAGTAGTAGTGCTGGCTGTAGTAGCTGCTGCTGGTAGCGGGGTGAAAAGAAACCTTTGAATTGTACCGTTTGGCATAGCTGCTTGCATTAGCTGTTGCCCTGGACCCGGTATTACAGTCATTCCCTGAGGGATCAGCTGTAACTGACCAGTAGTTTGTCCCTGTCCCTGAATTACCACAGTCAACCCTTGACTGCCACCCTAGGGGGAAAAAAAAAAGTTATTAATGCCCCAGTGGGATAAGCCTGTGAACTGGGAGACCTAAGCTCTCCTGACACTGGAACAACAACGTCACAAATCACATCTCTGATGCCTGAGTTCCATATTGCATAACAAAGCACCGACTAAAACATCCTAGCATTCCAGTGGCAGAATTTCAAGTCAGGAAATCACCTGAATTGCCCATAAAGGAGCAATGTATCATGTCTTAGAGGTTCGTATCAGTTATACCTATTTTCAGCTGAATACTAAACTAGATCAGTGTCAATGACAGTTAAATTTCTGTCCATCAAGTCTGGCTAAAACCTTTAACAGAAGGGCCACAGCTGAATGTAACTTTGGGCATCTTATTAACTACCCCCCAACCCAAAAATCAATCTTAGAAGTCCCACCATCAGTGCAGAAGATAATTCTTCACTTAAAAAAAAGTCTCAGCTGCCTGTCAGATACTAGCAAACAGTACGATTTGAGGCCTGTTTATAACCAGACTCAGCACTGGAGAATTCTACTGCTTTAAATAGTCCTTGGATACCAGACAATTTCTCAAGATCTTTACTATAAACAGACTGGATGGTGTGCTTACATGAATTTTCTTCAACTGAAAAGAAACCCGATGTTTAGTTAATGGCTATTAGAGCACTGACTTCTAATAGAAGCACACTGTACCACTGAAAGCAAGAGGTAACACTATTGGCATATCTTTATATTTGGAAGCTGTAAAAAATGGTTTACCTGTCCTTGCGTTAGCTGTGTAAGCTGGGCCATGGTAAGTTTCACTTGCCCCTGCTGGGGACGAGGGGTTTGGGGAGTTGAGGTTTGGGGCTGTATTGGCTGTGGAGGTGTTCCAGGAGCTGTTACAGTCTTTTGTCCAGAACTGGAAGAAGCTGTGCTGGTACTAGATACTGCAGTTGAGACAGGCTGACCTCTGATTATCTGAGTCACCACCTGTTGAGTCTGACCTACAAGAGCAAATATGTGACGTTGAAAATATTTATGTTCCAACTTTTTTTTTTTTTTTTT